AGGATCACGACCATCCTATGCTAAAGATTCAAAAGAAAATATACCATTCCTACAACGGATACAAGGAGATATATGTGGGCCGATACAACCAGAAAGCGGACCATTTCGGTATTTTATGGTACTGGTTGATGCCTCGACACGTTGGTCACACGTTACATTATTATCAACAAGAAATGCTGCATTTGCAAAACTCTTGGCACAAATAATTCGTTTAAGGGCTCACCACCCTGACCACCCGATCAAGTCTATAAGACTTGACAATGCTGCAGAGTTTACATCTAAGAACTTTGATGATTATTGTATGGCCATCGGGATCGATGTAGAGCATTATGTTCCCCATGTACACATGCAAAATGGCCTTGCAGAAGCAACCATTAAAAGACTACAAATGGTAGCTCGGGCATTGATTATGCGTTCTAATTTGCCCACATCTGCATGGGGTCATGCCATATTACATGCAGCTTTACTTATTCGCTTGAGACCCACTGCTTCACAACCATTCTCTACATACCAGTTGGTGACTGGTTATGAGCCTGACATTTCACACTTACGGATATTTGGTTGTGCAGTGTATGTGCCGATTGCTCCCCCACAACGCACTAAAATGGGTCCTCAAACACGATTAAGTATTTATGTTGGATATGAATCCCCAACCATTATTCGCTATATAGAACCTTTGACAGGTGATCTTTTTACTGCTAGATTTGCATATTGTCACTTTGATGAGACAGATTTCCCGTCGTTAGGGGGAGATAAGAAAAACTCTCCAAGCAAACGACAGGAAATATCGTGGTGTGTCCCCACACTGTCTCATTTTGATCTCCGTACTTCACATTGTGAAAGCGAAGTGAAAAGAATAATTGATCTCCAAAACGTGGCAAACTCGATGCCCGATTCATTTACTGATATTGCTAAAGTGACAAGATCACACATACCTGCTGCAAATGCACCTGCAAGGTTACAAGTCCAAATTAAAAAGAAAAATGCCATAATGACAGGCATTACATCCACACCGAGTGGAAGTGTGGGTGAGGCTGTGGCTCCTCAAAGGAAGAGAGGAAGGCCACTTGGTTCGATTGACACTCATCCAAGGAAGAAAAGGACGAGTGCGGCACAAACTAATCCGTTACACATCGATGTTGAACATCCATCCCATGAGATTATCTCTGATTATAGTTATGTCCATGAATCATTACTAGAGGACGCTCCGATGTTCGATATGATTCAAGAGAATAAAGAAATCTCAATGGATTATGAAAGTGCACATATATTACTAGAAAGATCTTCAACACACATCGATGATGTATTTGCTTTCAGTTGCTCTAGAGATAATAGAGCATGATGATATCGAACCACGCTCTATTGCAGAATGTCAACAAAGAGCGGATTGGCCTAAATGGAAAGAAGCAATCCAGGCAGAGCTCGATTCCTTGGCAAAAAGACAGGTATTTGGTCCGGTAGTGCTAACCCCTCCAAGTGTAAAGCCTGTAGGACATAAATGGGTATTTGTCAGGAAACGTAATGAGAAGAATGAAGTCTTAAGATATAAGGCTCGTCTAGTGGCGCAAGGTTTCTCACAACGCCCTGGAATTGATTATGAGGAGACATACTCCCCTGTAATGGACGTTATAACATTTAGGCACTTGGTGAGCTTAGCAGTTTCCGAAAAATTGGAAATGCAGCTTATGGATGTGGTTACTGCATATCTCTATGGGGATCTTGATTCTGAGAAATACATGAAAGTACCAGACGGTGTTCCCTTACCCAAATCAAGTGACTCTAAACCATGAAGTGCGTTTGCGATCAGACTAAAACGCTCTCTTTATGGTTTGAAACAATCCGGCAGGATGTGGTATACCCGCCTAAGTGATTACTTGATTAAAGAGGGATATAAGAACGATGAAATATGTCCCTGCGTATTTATAAAGAAAGCAAGTTCTGGATTTGCAATTGTAGCCGTTTATGTTGATGATATGAACATAATAGGCACTCTTGATGAAATAAGAGAAACTGCAAATTATTTGAAATCTGAATTTGAGATGAAAGACCTTGGGAAAACTCGATTTTGTTTAGGCCTTGAACTAGAACATCGAGTTGGTGGGATATTAATCCACCAGTCTGCGTATGTCCAAAAGGTACTCAGGCGATTTAACATGGACAAAGCGCATACTGCTAGCACTCCCATGGTCGGCC